ATGAGCTGTTGTCAAAACTTCCAATCTTTCTGTTTTAGCCATCATTTAATAGACAAAATCCAGTTTTGTCCTCCCAAAGAAACACTATGACCTTATATAATATACTAATAGCTTTTTCTAAAACAGTATCCAATGGTTGTGCCTTTTGTTTTGCATCTTTGGACCCTTCTTTGGGTCAGAACCTGTCGAGCAAAGGGGATTTCTCAGAGTGAGGCGATACAAAATACCATCTGTGGACATCAGAAGCTCTAACCTCCACCTCAGGTTCAGCTCACAGCCTTTTCTTTAACTTTGGTGCCTGTCGGGGGTCAAATCCATGGGAGGTTTGAAAACCTCTTCCCAGGTAAGCAGACCATACAATGTCAGATATGCTCCTGGACAGTTTATCAGTGGATTTCTTTCCAGTTATTTACCTTCAATAGTCTGTGCTGCAACAACAAAGGTCAGTGAATTCATGTCAGTGTACATGAGCTGATTTGATGATAGTTAAAGCTGAAATGAGGGGGTTCAGGTCATTCTAGTTGCTGGTTCTCAGGCAGGAAAACGCCAACTCCCCAGAGCGACAAAAATTGTTGCATTTTTCTGTTAATTTATGAGGCAGAGGCCACCATTCAAGCCAATTCATATCCACTGAAAAAACTAAATCAGCATGCCGGAAAGATGTCCACTCGGCTTATGCTTCCAGTAAAACAAAACATTTGCAAAATATAAAATCTTGCCATAAATTAGCTTTTATTTCCCCAATCATGATGAAGCAGAGTGGAAAACATGATGAATACCTTTGGTAATCTGCACTTCCTAATCAAGTCCAAATATTAATGAGAGCACTTCCAGAGCCAAATGAGCTGAACATGGGCCCAAAAGCACCGAGCAGGTTTCCACCACCACTAACGATTAATGAGCAGGAAGATGGCAGCCTGTGAGGAAAATGCAGAGGTGAACTTTGACCTTTGGGCTCGTTTCTCAGCTTTGGAGCCAAAAGGAGCTTTGAGGGTTCGGTTCATTTTCTGGATGATGGTACCACAAAGCAAAGAGCCCTCAAAAGCTCATCAGGAATGAACCAAGAACTCAATCTGACCGAAATCTTTGGTGGAAATAGGAAATTAAAAATGTCCATGAGGAGGCTCTAGCCTGAATTTTATTATTATTTATTATGATTTTATTAGAAAAGTAATCAAGATGTCAATCAAGAGCAAAAGCAAAAGTATGGGCTGATTTGATCCATGTTTAGGAATACAAAACTTCAAGTGCTTCATTATGGACTAAAATATCAAGAATTGAATCAAAGCCAAAACGTTCACTTATCAAATAAAAAAAAAAGAAAAAGCACTTTATGTCTATTTGTGACTGATGTATTAGCATTTTGCAGCTTTCCAAACAATAGAAATGCCCAAACCTAAACCCCAAACCCAGAAAAGCTGAAGAGGAGGCTTCTCAGATGTCCGACTGCAGAAAAATGGATAAAAAGGAGGAGGAAGTCTCACCTGTTCTGCTTTCTGACTGTGTTAATCTGGACTTTGAGGGTGTACATTTTATCGGTGGATGTTTTTTCTCTGTATGAAAGAGCTTAAACTCAGCAAACCTACTTTAGATCATCTGATATCTATGCGTTTTATACAGAATATAGTTAAAATCTTAAACTCTTGGGGACAAAGCTTGTTGATCCAGTGACTCTGGGACTAAAAAAATGGCATTAGGTAGGTTGAAATGTATATATATTAAGTGTTTTTAACCTTGACGCGTACTATTGGCAAAAAATATATATAATAAATGTTAAAAAAAACTATACCTATACCTCTCACAGGTTTAGCTAAACGTGCAAAAGTGTCAGGTGGGAGGGCTCAGCCCCACAAAGGCCAAAAGTGTTCAGATAGTCACGGGAAGGCTCCAGAAGCCCGGTTTATTGTCCTGATCCAGGCCAGGAGCCTCTTTTTACCCAGAATTATGAAGCAATACAGACGAGGTAAGCCAGTCCCCAACGACATGACACCTCCCCTTCTCCCCCCCCCACCCTTCCTGGGTGGGTGTTGTGTGGATTAGATCATAAAGAAGAGGAGACACGCAGTGTGGGATCCAGATCCAGGCCGAGCCAGGCCAGGCCAGGCAGTTCCCTGGCAGACCACAGGAGCAGCCTGGCACTGTTCAGCCACACACCCAAAGCATATGATCCCCCCCCCCCCACCTCCACCCCAACCCTCACCCCCCCATGTTACATTTCCAACCGAGATCAGGACAACTCTCGTTCACAAATCGCATTAAAATAGCCACACGCCTCTGGTGGGTTTCTCCCTGCCTTCTGCTAATGTTTCCTCCCCCCCCAAAAAATGATCCAAATCAGTTTTTCCGACGTGTTCACCCCCCCTCCTCCCTCCCTCCCTCCCTCCCTCCTTTCCTCCCCCCCATGACTACTGTGACAACTCGTGAATTACATTATTGTTTTAAAGAGTCAAACATCATTTCCATCGCTCGAGCCCCCGTCGTTTTACAAGCCTGTCTGCTTCAGGGGCCGTAAAAGTGAGTGGGAACTTGTGGTTTTTTCGATCCGAATCGGATCCAGCTGACCATTGAGGAATTTGATTGCGTGTATGAAATCATCTGATGCCAGAAAACACTAATCACGATGGGCCTTTTTTTTTTTTTTAGGGGGGGGAGGGGGGGGGGGGGGGGGGGGGGGTCGACCATCGATTCAAGTTAAAAACATGACAGGAAAATACTCACCAAGTCGATCGTCCGAGGCACGGAGGGGCTTTCGAGACCGATGGACAACATTTTCTGCAAGTCAGAAGTTTTAAAAAAAATAAAGAAAAGAGAAAAGAAAAGAAAAGAGAAGACGCCAGGCAACACGACGCAGCTCGCCACAGAGGGAGCCAACTATAACAAACGTTAGCCCCGGCTACTTGTTCCAGTTGGCTCCACCAAAAAGCCCCCAACGGTCCTCCGGTGTCCCGGCAACGGGGAGCAACGGTTGGTGTCGCGTCCCAGTCCGTCGGACGGCGGATTTCGGTCGGCGAAAAAGTCCGTATTTCCCTGTCGATGTAATGCAGGCTGAAACTAGAGAGGTGGAAACCAAAGTGCTACTGTTGGGGGTTAACAACTTTGCTGTAAAAGACGCCCTCCGATTGGACGGCGCAGGCCACCAATCACCGGCGGAGAGTCTCGGGTCTCGCGGCGTCACGCTCCCTCAGGGGATGGGACGCAACGTGATTGGCTGTTGTCGTTACTGTTAGCTGTAGCTTCAAGCTAATCGTTAGCTCGAAGCTAACGGTTTTGCGTTTTGGTTGAAGTAATTTAATATAAATGTACGCTTGTTCGATTGAATATGTATCTCTATTATTACTATATTATGCCTACTTATATTTTACGGGATGTCCTACATTTACAACATATTCTACCATATTTTTTCTGTATATATACATATCAACGTTTGATATACAGTATTAACCCTGTTTACACTATTTAATTAAATGAACAGTATAAATTACATTTCATATGGTTAATAGCGAATTAAACTATATCAAGAATCACATTTAAGGATAAAACACATTCCTTTAATGTAGGTTTTAAAGTGAATCTAAATACCACCCTAAATGTATTCATATTGAGTCAAAAATGGTAAAAACAAGGCAAAGAGTTTGTTGACAAAGCTTAATTTACAACACCTGTAAAATACTGATGTGGCAACTCACCAAATTACAATATATGTGTGGTTAAAGTGTACATTTAAAGCTTAGTTTGATAAAACAACAACATATGATCTGCTTTAGAAAGTTTTGTTTCTAGGATGACCCATGTCATATTAATAAAATAACCTTTCACATGAGTCTTCCTTAAGGCCAAGAGCAAATCATTTGGTCACATGCCATAAAAAAAGAGAGAAATTGGAGGCAAAAACACATACAAGGTGAAGACAAAACAGTAAAAGCACAGTGAGACTTTAATCATGTCTGGGTAAAATGTTTTTGAAGGTTTATTCAATAAATTATTTCAGAAAACAGAAATGTGTGAATGAGTTGATGGTAATTATAAAAAGGCACTTGAAAACAACTTCTAACGGTAGCTTTTCATTTACACTAATTAAGATTTTATAAGATGTACACATTCTCCATCAACTGTGACCTTTTAAAACAAATTAAATCCACGGTTTGATCGCAATTTTGAATTACAGGAAAGAAATATTTGGGGCTACTCCCCAGTTTATAAAAAAAACATTTACTGTGAGACAGCTGACTTAGCTACAACAACATAAAAAAGGCAGATTTGCATGTTTTTGGCATTTCTAAAAAGATTAAGAACCTGAGGAGGCTTTAAATCAAGCAAGTAAAACCTGCAGCCGAACAGTAATTCTACTGTAAACTGACGTCCTTTCGTTTAGAAAGGAAACCCAAGGAAACACAAAGACAGCTTTCAAATGATTGTTCAGAGTTAACTCACAAACCACGGATCTGTGAGTACATGTATGGCTTCACACAGAGCCCAAACAATCCCGTCCATGTTTCACTGCTGCTACACAAACCAGAGACACATTTAGCAACATGATCACAAACACAAAGAGACCTTTGGTTAACTGGCAAATCAATCCTAAGACCTTTGATCACCTCTTTTTTTCTCACTTCCTCCACCAACAAAACACTGACCGATTGCTCTCCTCCATCATTTGGAAAGGAGCTCTTCATCTTTAACATCAAAATTCAGCCTTGCTACTTAAAAAAACAACTACTAAAGGCACAGCTTTCATTGCCCGGTCGCCTCTGTGGAGGAAATAAACAAAAGAAGAAAAGAAACACACATTCTCTCATGTTCAAAACACAAAAACCAAACTATACACAGACACAGGAAATCAAGTTAGTAGAAAAAAAACAGAGTGGCCCCAAAGCGCTGCTTCCAATCGGTGACGACAACAACAACAAACAGTGAGCATAAGTGTATAAACCCCGCCCCCGTGGTCGGCCCCGCCCGTTTCCTCCTCTGTACAGTGTTGTCACGATGGAGGCGTGGCTCCATCATTTGCCCTCGTACTTTGGATTGACGACGGTCGTCACGGCGCTTTTGTAGATTGGGTTCTCGCCCTGAGGAGGAAGAGGGGAGCAGAGGTCAGCCAACAGCCTGAGACGAGTTAAAGGCATTTTCCAAAGCCTGAACGGAGTTAGTTTGGTCATGGAGAAAACGGTGAGGAGTTCATGGCCTCCATATTGGACGCTCAAACTTTCCACTGATGGTTTTCCCAGAAGCATCTTCAGGGTTATCACTATTATTTTTATTATTAGATGACTCCTTCTTGAAAGGATGATGTTTCTATTGAGGAACCACAGACTGTAAAACACAGGGACTCAAAAAAAGTTCAAATATCTGCTTTTAGAGTTTGGAGCCTCGGTGTGTTTATTAGGAGAAATCCGAAAAACCAAGGTCCTCATTTGTGAGTTAGATCAAATAAATGGGATCATTTCATCCCTCTTTACAAGTCCTGAATTTGGATGAGCTAAAAGGCTAAGATATGCGTCATATCTTCATTATTTATATTAAAAATTGCCATCTGAACTTCAGAGCCAACGTTTTACTCTGTAGTGCAAACTGTCTGGTCTGTAAATAAATTATGAATTTAGGTGAAGAGGGGAGAGTGAAAAGCTTTTTTAAAGTGTTGATCTTCAAAGAAAAATCAGACTGATGATCAGTAATTTATGCTTCCTGTCTTTTTTTGCTAAATGCTAACAGGAAGAAAACTCTTGTGAACAGGACACAGATAAAGGAGGAACACTGAGAAGAAAGACTTGAGGTGGACAGGAAAAAGCGGAAGGTCCATGTTTGTGTAAACCTGTAAACCTTTTCATTGCATTTTGATGCTTTTTATTTCTTTTGGCACATTTAAACTAAATGTAAAATGGTATAAATTGAAGCAGAAGGGGATTAAATCAAAACGAATGCTTTTGTTTGTCCTGCTGACATGAAGACTCACCGTGTCCCACTTGGCGTTCATCTTCTCCTTCTCGAACTTGGCGAACTCCCGGCGGTCGTGGATGATCATGAGCAGCTTCCAGATGAGCAGCAGGGCGAGGCCGATCATCACGATGCCCGCCACCACCCCCGCCACGATGGGGATGATGTCAGGGCCGGTCGGGCACTCTAAATCAGAGAAAAGCACCAACACTTGGTCAGATAACGTTTTAGACAAATACAGGTCCTCATTTTAGTTAGAAAGTTAACCTAATTTCAAATAGTTTCCAGGTTAAACCCTTTTTAAACATCATTTAATAATGCAGATCCAGACTCAAGATCCAATTTTAAAAAAAGTTTTTTTAAAAAGTCAGATCCCACTCGAGCATTAGCATCTCCTAACCCACAGATCTGTGTCCTAACCATTAAGTTGTTATCAGAGTAAATCCCTGTTCAACATGAATCTGACAACTAAGTAAGTAGATAAATAACTTTCAACTTTAACACATGCTCTGATCGTCCGGGATCGAGATCGGATCGGAAAAAAGCTGGATCGGGACATCCCTAGTCCTAATATGAGGATGCAGTCTCCAGGTTAAACCATTTTTAAACATCATTTGGGACACTTCCTGTGAATGGAGAGGGGACATATTCCCTCCGGTGAACCTACCCAGCTTCTCCACCACCACCACCTCCTTGGTCTCGTTCCTGATGGCGTAGGTGAAGTAGAACCAGCAGTCGTTGGCGTCCCTCTCTTTGCAGTGGGAGAGGGGGTAGCTCTGGTCCGTGGGCTGGGGCAGCATGTCGCGTTCGGACACCTTGATCAGCTTGAAGTAGCTGCACTGCCGCTCACACTCGTCCTTCTTGTCTCCGGCCTGGAACGCCCGGCACTGCACGCAGTCCCTGAGGAGGCAGACGGCCATCAGAGACGACTCCGCCCACATGTTTATGTTTATGCATTTGGCAGACGCTTTTATCCAAAGCGACTTACAGAGTAGACACAATATTCCATTTATCATCACTATGACATTAAGCTATATAGAGGAGAAACACTGATCAGAGTCAGTGGTGAGATATAGATAGAGGTAGAGGGACTACAGAAGGAGCTGTGGGGGGGTAGAGGTACGGGTTAGGGTTAGGATAGGAGCTGTGGGGGGTAGAGGTACGGGTTAGGGTTAGGATAGGAGATGCTCTTTGAAGAGGGGGTCTTCAAGAGTTTCTGAAGACAGACAGGGACCTGCTGTTCTTGTAGCTCGGTAGGTGGTTCCTCCATCTTGGAACGACACATAAACAGTCATGATGGTCTTAAGCTGGTGTAGCTCTGCTAGACCACAGTCCACTGATGACCGGAGGGATGGAGTTGTGACATAAGCCTTTGCAAGAGGATTCAAGTAGATGGGAGCCGTACCCTTTAGCACTTTGTAGGCTAGCATCAGGGAGTTGAATTTGATACGGGCAGCCAGAGGTAACCAGTGGAGTTCAATGAACGGACGATGAGGGAAAAACATCCATCCATCCATTATCGTTACCACTTATCCCCTAATGGGGTCGTGGGGGACTGGAGTCTATCCCAGTAGCCAATGGGGAGAGGCGGGGTCACCCTGGACGGTCCCCAGTCCATCACAGGGACACACAGAGACACGCAAGGACCAACAACCACACACACTCACACTAAGGGCAGTTTGGAGTCCGACCAACCTAACATGCAGGTTTTTGGATGGTGGGAGGAAGCCGGAGAACCCGGAGAGAACCCACAGACACAGGAGAACATGCAGACTCCACCCAGAAAGGTCCTGGTTCCCCCGGGACTCCAACCCAGAACCTTATAGCTGTGGGGTCATGGTGCTGACCACCACACTACCTGCCCCCCCCCCTCTCTGTTACCACTTTAATGAAATGCTGCAGAGTAAAAACCATGAAGTAGGCTTGTCCCGATCCGATATTTGGATCGGATTGGCGCCGATATTTAGAAAAATCGTCCGGCAGGAGAAAATGCAGATCCAGACTCCTGATCCAGTATTTTCTCAAGTCCGATCCCACACGAGCATTAGCATTAGCATCTGCTAACCCACAGGTCTGTGTCCTAACCATTAAGTTGTTATCAGAGTAAATCCCTGTTCAACATGAGTCTGACAACTAAGTAAGTAGATAAATAACTTTAAACTTTAACACATGCTCTGATAGGCTGGGATCGGAAGTGAGTAAAGCTGGATCGGGACGTCTCTACCAGGAGGAGCTTCCTGCTGAAATGAGGAAGGACCCGGTTCAGCCTCAGACTCACTTGTGCTCGGTGCAGACTCCGGGGCAGGTGGGGCAGAGCTCACAGGTCGGTCCCTGGAACTTGGAGTCGGTGCACTTGCAGGAGCCGCACTCGCAGGTGCCGCGGCCGTTGCAGATCTGGCCGTTCTTGGCCAGGCAGGTGGAGTTGTCCAGGGAGCAGTCGCAGGCGCTGCCCGTGTAGTCGGGGTCGCACACGCACTTCCTGCACTCGCACCGCCCGTGGCCTGGAGAACCAGAAGAGAGAGACACATCAGGGCCCATCCAGGAGGCCACGCCCCCTCTGAGCTCAGCCCCGCCCCCATCCAGGACGCCCCGCCTCTTTTTTTTTTTCTTAAAAGGCATCAGACTGCAGCACAGATCCTCATTTTTAAATCGTAAACAACAGTTTTGGAGCCACAGGTTGTTTTTTTGGGGGGCCTGTTTACCAGAATAAAGTCACAAAGTTGAGGGTAAAGTTTAAAGTTTCAGGAATTAAGTTGAAACAGAATGCCGTCTTTATTTCCATCCATCCATCCATTATCAATACCGCTTATTCCCTCATGGGGTCGCGGGGGGAACTGGAGCCTATCCCAGTGGTCAACGGGCAATTTCCCCAATCTCCAATCAGCCTAACATGCAGGTTTTTGGACGGTGGGAGGAAGCCGGAGAACCCGGAGAGAACCCACAGACACAGGAAAACATGCAAACTCCACCCAGAAAGGTCTTGGTTCCCCCGGGATTCGAACCCAGAACCCTCTTGCTGGGAGGCGACAGTGCTAACCACCACACCACCGTGCCGCCCCCGTCATTATTTCATTTATCATTTTGACTTTATTCCTGAAATTTCCAATAATGTGATTTATAACTGAAATTTGATCTTGATTCTCAAAGTGTGACTAAATAATCCCCAAAATGTTGACTTATTATTGAAACTTATACTTTATTCTGAATGAAATTCCCCAGATTTGAACTATTCTTGATGAATGAGCAAACAGATTTGCGTTTATCAGGCCCCCTCTGAGCTTAATTCTCAAAGTGTTACTAAATAATCCCCAAAATGTTTACTTTATTCCTGAAATTTAGACTTATTGTGTTTTCAAAATAATTCCAATAATGTGATTTATAACAGAATTTAAGCTTAATCCCCAAAATGTTGATTTATAGCTGAAGTTTATACTTTATTCTGAATGTAATTCCCAAGATTTGAACTATATTTGATGAATCAGCAAACAGATTTGTGTTTATCACCCCCCTCTGGGCCTCACCTCCGCACAGCTTGTTGTTGGAGCGGTCGCAGTTGAAGTTGTCGCACTCGCAGTACTTTCCGCTGTAAACCTCCGAGGGGTTGTCGCGCTTTTTGCACTCGCAGGTGCCGCAGACGCAGTCGCCGTTGTTGCTGCAGATGTCGGTGCCGTTGTCCCTCCTGCAGTTGGCGTCCAGGTCCTCCGTCCGGACCTCGTCTTTGCTGCACTCACACAGCCGGCCGATGCGGCCTTCGTTGCACCTGGTGAACAAACCGAGAGGTCAAAGGTCGTTTCAGCACAGAATTGCAATCAATTCAAACTTTTCACACTTTAATCAACTCACATCTTTATAACTACATCAGCCTGAAGTGTAAATGTCATATATTAATGACATATTCCAGATTAAAGACTATGAAATGATATTTTTATAGAGAATAGATAAGATAAAGATAAGATAATTAGTGATTAAAGAAGGTGCAAACAAGGAGGAAAAGGTGCATGAAGTATGAACATTAAAACTAAATAAAAATACAAGGGAGTAACACAGAGATTTGAGTGACATCTGTACACTCAGGGTGGCTTATATACATTATACATATTGCACAGATCAATAAATTTAATATAATTGCACATTAGTTGTTATAGTGCAGAATTGTATAATCCTAAAATTATATTTATAAATGAAATATGTCCTTTAATACAGTGATTAGAAATTTTATTGTTCCCTGAGATGGTTCACTGACTCCTGCAGAAAACAGGAAAAAGTGAAAGTGCTCCGCCTGCTTTGATGGTAAAAAGCAGCTCCCTCTGGTGGACAAATATGAAAATTAAAAACTGAATGTTTGGAGTTCAAAATTCAACCTTCACATGAAGGAATGCATTAATTGATTTTAAGCAAAATGGGGGATTAAAAAAAAAAAGGATTTTGATTATTTTCAATGGGACCTTTTCAGCCTTAAAGAGCAAATGTGTCTGTCGTTTCTGTTCAGCTTTGCTATTTTGGGGTATTTTATGGAGCTGTGAGCTCTACTTTGAGCTTTTCTGAGGAATGAATACCCCCTGGGGAACCTCCTGAGGACTGAACTCTTCCAGTGGAGGCGTCCTGACTCACTTGCAGGCTCCACACTCGTAGGTCCCGTTCCCGCTGCTGCACCGCTGGCTTTCGGCCTCTCCGGCAGCCGCACACTCGCAGTCACAGATGAAATCTAGTGTGACCTCCACCTCCTCCTTGAAGCCCAGCGGTTTGATCGTAATGGTCTCAGATTTCCCCTTTGAAGGACACTTCTGAGTTTCCACGGAAATGTCAAAGTAAACCTGCAAAACCAGACGAGGGTTCAACAAAACCTCTGGATCCCTGGAAGTCTTATCATAACCAGTTTATGAGGCTCCTTCTCACCTCGTCTCCGATAGAGATGTTGGAGCACTTCCTGCCGTTTTCTCCCGTTCCCACGACATTATTCTTACAGATTGACTTGTAAGAGATGGAAATTCCCTCCGGGAGTTTGCCATTATCCAGAATGACCTCAGAGGATAGAGACTGGAAAGAATAATACTTTACTTTAAACTGTGTTCCAAATTATTG